TTTGTTTTTTCTGAGGTTGTAATTAGGTCTATTTCTTTATTTTTAAATTAATTTTTTAAATGGAGGTACTGGGGATTGAACCCAGGACCTTGTGCATGCTAAGCATGTGCTCTACCACTGAGCTGCACCCTCCCCCGAGAGTGGTTCCTTCTGAAGTCAACCCCTTAAAGCTCTGTCCCCAGGCTTGTGTTCTCCGGGCTGCTCCAGAGCACTGAGCATCTCTGCTTGTGTGGGTGGAGTCATGCACCAGGTGGATGGGATTCATGGGCTGGATTCATTGGGAGACTGCCGGGCAGCTGGGGTGTCAGGAGCAGCCTGGGACTCCAGCTGAAACGTGGCTCAGGCTGGAGGTGGCCAGAAGCCACGTGTCCCTCAGGAACTCACAGGGACTGCACATTCACGGTGACCATGATGGTTGCTGATGCCTACTGACGTGGCTTGGCACTGTGGTGGCCCCTGACCTGGTGTCCAGGTAAAAGTGAGAACTTCCCTGGTTCTGGGGTTAGAAGACTCTCACTCCCTCCTTCTCTAGCATTTTGGGAGAGTTCTAGACCTCAGCCTGGGTCCCTGTCCTCTCCCTCCTCTCCCACGGCTGGCTGCATCAGCGTAGCTGACAGAGGCTTCATATTAAAAGCCCTACACCTTTCAGAAGGAAAGTCACAAAGTCCCAGCCAAGTCCAGAGACTGTCCCTCCCTCACCCCCAGCTGATCTTGAGCCTCATTTAGGACTCTGTGCCCAATCCCTCCTGCCCTAGAGGCTCCCAGGTTTCCCCAGAGGAATTGATCTGGTAAGGTTGCAGATCCAACTAAATGCCCCCTTGGGTGGAATGCAGGTTCCCTGACAGGTGGGCGGGCGAGATGTTGGGGTCTGGGAGTTCTCAGGGGCCCCGGGCAGCGCCAAGCAGAAGCAGCTGCCTCCCCGTGAGGACGTCCCTTCCAGGTCCCTCTCCTGCGTGTTCTTTCAGCACAACGACGTCCAAGGAGGGGATGCGTGGAGGAACTGCAAAGCGGAGCAGGAGTTTCCCTGTCCTTTCCCCTGTGTCAGGCCCTTCGCCTTCTTAGCTGCACTGACCTGGAAAATACAGAATGCCTCCTGCATTGCTGGGCCAGCCCGAGCAAGCATGGCGGGCCTGGGAAGCAGGACATGTAATTCCAGATATGGCCACAAGGCGGAGACACACGGTTGTCCAGTCCCTACATTTTGGGATTACAGATGGTTCAGGAAAAGAATATGCATAGATGTAAACAGAATAACAAAGCAAATGTGGCTTTAAGATGAATCTGGTTAAGGGATATATTGGAGTTCTCTGTACTGTTTTCACAGTTTTTCTGTAAATTTGAAATGATTTCAAAATTAATTGTTTGTTTCCTAAGCACTAAGATTCCAGGAGTCCTGGACACAAGATTCAGATTTTCTAGCACCCGTATGAGTGGCATTTATCATTTCGGGTGACCTCTCTAGCCTGTGGCTTTCACGTAAAACGAAGAAGCCAATTGGTTTTCACTGCTGAAAAGTATTCCACTGTATGAATAAAATTTAGCTCACCCATTCCCCTAGAAAGAAAGAAGGAAAGAAAGAAAGAACATGGATTTTAGTAACATACTTTATTTATGCCAGTATATTATCTTTTCAACATGTGATCATGTATTAAGTTTGTAATGAGATATTCTACATTCTCTCTTAAGTGTATCAAATCCTCTTAGACTCACAGCCCACCTCAGCTGAGACTAGAGTATTTCAGAAGCTAGTACCCACCCGTGACCCGTGTCTGCCTCAATCTGGGCAGCAGGACTGCTGGTTCTCTGGGCAGCTCCAAGTCCAGCCCCAGCCCCAGCCCCACCAAGATCCCCCCCCTCCCCTGTCCTCCCCACCCCAGGCTACTCTTTTCTGGTCTGAGGCTGGCAAGCTTTCTTTTGATCCTCACTCTTCTCTCAAATCTCTGTTCAGGGTACATTGCTTCCTCTTCTAACAAAGGCTTGGTGGCTTGGGAACTACAAAGGCAGGCGGCTTTTATCCTCTGCTTTCTGCTGTGTCCTGGCTTCCCTGGAGCAGTGAGGGCAGCAAATCCAGTGGACGGAATGGATTGGAAGGAACTACAGAACCATATTGGCTAGCATTTCAAAACTATTTTCCCACTGCAAAGTATTTTTTCTTTAACTTTCTGTTCTGTGTCTGTGTGTGTGTGTTGTGGAGGGCGGGAGGGAGCAGGGAGCAGGGAACAGCTCCCTAGTAGGACAAAGATTTCCCCGCAACTCCTCCTGTTCCACCAGGAGGTGATCGTTCAGGGCCAACAGATGCTTCTTTTCAGGTCAAAGCTCTGACCCTTCAGCATCACTTGCTCGAACAGAAGAAGGATTAGCAGACGCCAGTTTAGGGAATCATGGCTTGACGTGGGGACTGGGGAGGAGAAGACCACGGGGCACAGACTGTCAACTCTCCGTGCGCAGGGAGAGTTTTATATCAGCTGCCCTTGTTATTATCGTGTTAGGTGATTTAAGGAACTTGCTGTATCATTTTATCTTCACCAAAACATATGAAGACTTAAAGGGTTATTTCCCCATTTTACAGATAAGAAAGCTGAAGGTCAGACATGTATATACGTTATATATCACATATATCATATATGTCATCAATAAGTAGATGCTGGGTTTATAAATAAGTAGGTGGGTAGAGACAGCAATGTTGCTGTATAGATATACACTATACGGTTAAATATCTCAAGGAAGAAATTTTAACATTATCTTTAAATGACTAAGGACAGGACTAGTAAGGACAATGATTTTCGCCATCTATTTTCCTATAAATGTTGAGTTTTCAGTCATGCAATATGGTGCCTAATTTTTAATAGATACAGTTTAAAATATGAACTCAAGTAAAATGTGAGCTGAGGCATTTCCTGACAAACTCCCTAGGGCAAATCTTTGTTCAGGGAAGACTGACCAGGCTGCCACTCTTCCTCATGCGATTATGATGTATGTCCGCCTGGAGCCCTGGAGGGAAGCTAGAAAAGCACATTTTTAAAAAATCTGGCTCGACAAAGATTGCCTTTCCCAATACCCTTTGGTATGCACAGCTTCCTGGAAGGAAGTTACATAAATGTGTGTAGATTACAAGACTTGTCTGTTTATGTCTTAAACCGCCCTGCAGAGGTCACTCTCTGATTGGAAAGAGGGTGCCTCTAGGGCTACTTTAGGTCAGGCTGGAGGGTGATTGAGCTGAATTCAGTTCACGTCAGCAGAGATTTTTGAGCGCTCACTCTGCACTGGATGCATGGCTAAGCTCTGGTCCACATTATAAGGTCCCTCAACACCCTTCACAACCACCTTTCAAACCCTCATTTTCAGGACTCCACGTTGCACAGATTTAGGGAACACCATTCAACACTGTGCTGTACGGGAAGGGTGCCACCTAGCGTCGTGCTGCAGATGAACGAATACTGACTTAATTAGAACATTGTAGGGGAGTTCCAAACCAGTGTCTCCTCCCTCTGGGTGGCTGGTGACGGTTTAGCAAACATCCCTGACAAAATAGGAAAAGATTCTGGGTTAGAGCGCTCTCTCAGTGTGGAATGTCATTCCCTGGAAGTAGCAGAAATCGCAACCACTAGTGACTTAAAGACATTCAAGTTTATTTGTCTCAACCAGCAATGGACTTGGATAGGGAGTAACGGCAAGAAGATACAACAATTATATTTATAATTATGCACTTAACGACAGACCATCAAAATACATGAAGCAAAACCTGACAGAATTGAAGGGGGTCGTAGACACGTCTACAGTAGTAGTTGGAGACATCAATACCCCTCTCTTAACAATGGGTAGAATGACCAGACAGGAGGTAAGCAAGGAAACAGAGGACTTAAACAGCACCATAAATCAACCAGATCTAACAGCCGTATACGGAACCATCAGTCCAGCCACAGCACACACACTCCTCTCAAGTGTACATGGGACATTTTCCAGGATAGACCATCTGTGAAGCCAGAAACTAAGTCTTACTAGATTTAAAAAGTTAGTTTCTTCTCTGACCACAACAGGATGAAGTTAGAAATAAATTTTAAAAGTATAACTGGATTCTCCTTTTTTTTTAATTTGGTGGGGGGTGGTAATTAAGTTTGTTTGTTTGTTTATAATGGCGGGACTGGGGATTGAACCCAGGACCTTGTGCGTGCTAGGCACGCACTCTACCACTGAGCTCTACCCTTCCCCCTCTCTTAATTGTTCTTAACTGCATTTTATTCATATTGAGGTGGGAGAAAAGCCACATTGGATGACTGGCCCAATTCATACTGTTTGGGCATTAATCATGATCCAAGAAAAAGGCAATCCACAGAATGAGAGAAAATATTTGCAAATCACATATCTGATAAGGATTAATATCCAGAATTCATAGACAACAAAAACTCAACAGCCACACACACATACACACACAAAACCTTCTCAATCTGAAAACCTGCAAAAGACTTGAATAGACAGTTCTTCAAAGAAGATACACAAAAGGCCAATAAACACACGAAACGGTGCTCGACCTCACTGCTCACTGGGGAAATGCAAATCAAAATTACCACTAGGATGGTTACTTTTTTAAAAAACAGAAAAAAACAAAGGTTGAAAAGGATGTGGAGAAATTGGAAACCCTTGTGCACTGTTGGTGGGAGTATAAGATGGTACAGACACTGCAGATAACAGCCCAGCAGTTCCTCAAAAATTAAAAATAGATCATCATATGATTCAGCAACTCTGTTTCTGGGTATCCACCCAAAAGAATGGAAAGCAGGGTCTCAAAGAGATACTTGTACTTCATGTTCATAACAGCGTTACTCACAACTAAAACGCAGAAGCGACCCAAGTGTCCGCTGATGGATGAATGGTTAAGCAAAATGTAATATATACATAAATGGAATATTATTCAGCCTTCTGAAGAAAGGATTTTTCTTTAAATACAAGATTGCCGACACAGAGCAGGCATTGTATAAATAATATTTTCTTCTCTCTTAAGATATTTTAAACTTTATTAATTTATTAACCTCATATTAAAAATGAACCTATCTCAGAGTCCAGAGAAACACGGTTCTGGAGCCTTGGGCAAGCCTCTCCTCTCTCTGGGTCTTGGTCTCCTTGTCTGTAAGATGAGGGGGACCCAGTCCTCAGGGCCTTTGCATTCTCCTGGCTCTTTGCCAGTGGGGACCACTCTGCAGGAACCCAGACATTTCCATGGGGCTGTGATGTACAAAGCTATTCATGGGTGTCACCCTGCATGAGTCCCATTGTTTCTCAGAGACCTCACGTGGGGCTGAGATCCTGCCCTCCTTCCCCAGAGCTGGGAAGAGGCAGAGAAAAGGGGAAAGACGCATCAGGAGCCAGTGGGACGGAAGGTTTCCCACAGGTCCTTCCAGAATCACATTCCCACTCGTCCTCAATGAAGCCAGCCTGGCTGATGGCGCACGAGGGTTGGCCCTCGGGAGCCCAGCTGCCTTGTTGGCCACCAGCAAGAGAAGCGGTGTTGGCGGATGTGGGTGAGGGCTGAGGGGCCAGCCCTAGGCTTCCTGTGCCCCACAGAGGCCTCCAGATGGCAAGGCTGGAGATGCAAGCTTATGTCTTCTTAACCAGGCTGTACACTGGCTCCTGCTTCTGGGGCCCCAGGGAGGATGTCCTGTCGGCCTTGGAATCCTGTCTTGGTGAGTCAAACACCACCGTGGTGTAGTGAAGACTTTCACCGGGGGGCCTCTGCAGAGACAGAGACAGGGGGGTCGGGGAAAGGTGGGGGGAGCACGAACCCCCAGCTTAGGCTGGAGGGTGGGGCACGCCAGAGGGGAACCCGGGGAGTCTCCGCTGGGAAGGAGGTGGCTCCACACTTCCCCACTGCCCTGTCCTCTTTCTCCCACAAGGACTGGGCTCCAAGATCCTGTCCACCCACCTGCTCCACCCCATCTGATCAAGACACAGCACAAAGTCCCCGGCACTAGAGCTGGGGGAGTCTCCGGGACCCACTTTGAGATCATTAGTCACCAAGTTAGAAAAACGGATGTGGCTGGTCCCAGGGCCATGTGTCTGATGTGGAAACCTTCTCCCTCATCTTCTCTGACAACTGACCCCTCAGCCGAAACTCTTCCACTAACGGGTCACGACCTTGGAGGGGTGGGCAGCCTCTTCCATTAGTTTACTTTACAATGACTGTGCCTAAGGGCTGACCTACAGGGGGTCATTGATACAAATCGGAGAAGTGGGGATCATACCAGAGACAATGGGACCAAAACAGTGAGAAGTCAGAGGTTTTAATGCTGGGTACGTGATATATAGTAGGGGCCTAATAAATGCTGTACTTTATTGACTATTGACTGCCACCTGCCATCCCAATAGCCCCTCATCTCCCACCCCCATCCCCAGCTACAAAGACACTGAGCTCGGCAGAATCTGCACTTGCCCCGTTCTCTGTGTGTCCTCGTCCTAGGGAAGCACAAGACCGGGGAGCCCGGGTCCCCCCTCCCCGTTACAGGAGCTGAGCCCCCGCACTCACCACCGTGCTGCACCCCACATCCTCTGCCTCCCAGGCAGGCTGCCGGGGCTCTGCCGGAGGGGGCCACGTCTGCAGCTCCACATTTGCATAGCAGGGCTCACTCTGCTCAGCAGCCTGGGGTGGGTAGGAGGTGCGGGGCTTGGTGGGTGTCCGCAGAGCCCCTCCGTGGTCCAGCCCAGAGAGGCCTCTATCCCTGCTTCTCTGCAAACATCTCCTTTCTCTCAGTGCTCTGGGTGCCCCAGCCCCAGCCCCAGCCTTCCCCCCCTCCCTCCCCTCACTCTGGTCCTCTCTGGGGAGTATCTGAATGGTCAGGTCAGCGGCTGGGCTGGGAGGACCCTCCCTCATTCCCCCTTCCCTGGGAAGGGAAGGGACTGGCCAGAACCCGTGGCAAGACCCAGTGACAGATCTCCCAGGCATCGTTCTTCCCGCTGTGGAGGAGCACCTCGCCCCATCCACGTAGGATCCATGCAGACCTCCACTGCCTGAGGGACACTTCAACCCCCCTGCTCCGCCAGCATCCTCTGCGCTTCCCCCCAGCCACCCGACACTCCTCCTGCCGGAGCCTTTCTTACCTGACTGGGGTTCTGGGGTGGTTCTGGATTCTTACCAGCTAAAGAGACAAGAGAAGAGTAAGGAGGTCGAATCCCAGAACAAGACGGGGATGGGGCACCCTGTGATCCACCTGGAGGAAGGCCTTGCCCTCGGACAAGTTCTGGGGACCTGTCACTTCAGGTCTGCAGCATGGTAGGAACTCAAGGGCTTGCTGAGTGGGTGAATTAGTGAATGAGGAAATAAATGAGTGAATAAACGAATGGGCAGGAAGGCTCCAGCCTGGGGAGAGGGGCCAAACAAACCTAGTCCTCAAAAGTCACTCAGAAAAATGTTTCTGGTGGGTGGGGAATAGCTCAGTGGTAGAGTGTGTGCTCAGCAGGCACGAGGTCCTGGGTTCGATCCCCAGTAGCTCTATTAAAAAAAAAAGTTCCCAGGTGAGAGAAGGCAAGAAAGGAAGGAAACTCATTTAAAAGGAGCTGTCTTCGTGATGAAAAAGCTTTGGAGATCTCTTTGACAGCAAAGTAAATATACTTGACACCACTGAACTGTAAACTTAAAAATGGTTCAGATGGTGAACTACTATATGCAAAATGGATAAACAACAAGGTCCCACTGTATAGCATGGGAAACTGTATTCCATAGCTCATGAAAACCTATAATGAAAAAGAATATATACATATATTTTTATATATATGTATAACTGAATCACTTTGCTGTACACCAGAAATTAACAACATTGCAAATCAACCATACTACAATTTTTAAAAATGGTTAAGATGGCAAATTTTATAGTATTTTAATGTATTTTTGCTGTAATTTAAAAAATGCAGATCTGCAGGCCCCACCCTAGATGTACTGAATCATAAATGCTGGGGTGGAGTGTTTTAACCAGTGTTTTAACAAGCCCTGAAGTTTTTTTAAAAGAAAAAAATGAAGGGACGTGTCCTTGCAGAGACCTAGAACTGCGTCAAACTACATGAAGTCACCAGGGTCATCTGCTCCGACTGCCTTCCTGGGGGTCTGTCCCTCCCAGATGGGAGGTCCCGGTAGCTCTGATGGATCACTGGTCAGGCCGCACAGCCTTTTGCTTCTGGCACCTGCAGTGTTGGTCTGCAGATGTCCTGCCTCTGAGCGCAGCTCTGTGCCTCGCTCCCCGGCCCTTTCGACCTGGAGCCCCAGGAGCTGGTGGCAAGCAGATGGTGCCCACGCAGCCAGAGTGCCCTTGCCGAGGGGCACAGCCAGGTGACTCTAGAGCCCACTCCATTAAACACTGCAGAGAAAGACACTGTCCACTCGGGGAGCCCCAAAGTCAAAGGTGAGACACCCACAGCCAGGAGACAAGAGACCTTGTACGACAGAAGTGTTTGCTGATCCCCGACAGTCAACACAACAGAACACGCCACTGGGCACTATAAGGTATGAACACGTTTTGTTCCAAATGCTGTCCCCCCGGCTCCACGCCCCCTCCCTCTCTTCGGCTGGGACAGGGGTTTTGATGGGAAGAAAGAAGGGGGCTGGTGAGGAGGACATGGAGTCCATCACTGAGGAAGGAAGGTGGCATTGAGGGAGCTGGGTGACAGCCAGCCAGCTGGGCAGGAAGCCCACTAAAGATGGAACCCAGTCTACCCTGGTCAAGACCGTGTCCCCCAGAGCCCAGCACCGGGCCTGGCACACAGCAGCAGTTCCGTCAGCTTTGCTGCGTGAGTGAGCGAGTGAATGACAAGACTGGGCTGAGGGGAAGAACCAGGAGTCGGGGGACAGGGCAGGCGTCAGGCTGAGGGGCAGGGACAGAGGCACGGGGAAGACAGCCCCAGACGCGCTCAGGACACAGGAGCTGGGACTCGCAAAGCAGGGGGAGCGACTGGCTGCTTGAACAGAAAGCCTTTCTCCTGTTAAACAAGGGTTAGTTCAACAAGCTGCAACCCACGCACACGAGTCAACCCGCAGTCAGGAATTTTTAGAACATCTATTAGCAGGGGAAATCATACAATCTGTGAAGTGCAAAAAAAAGAAAAAAGAAAAGGAAAATCTAAGTGGAATCACGGTATGCAGCAAACATTTTAAGAAATCAGATAAGCAAGAGACTTCGACGCAGCACAAACACCAGTGGTGAGCTTTCTCCGGCCGGTGGGAATTTCCATCATTATTATGGCGAATTTATTTCCTTCTTTGTGCCTCTACTTATTTTTCCAGTTTTTTGCAGCAGTCACACACCCCTCTTTTAGAAGGCGGGGCATGGGGAACTAATCAGGCGAAAGGGCGCCAAGGAGATGTCTGGGACCCACAGATCTGAAGCCGTCCAGGCTGGGGAAACCCCATGTGGGGGGCAGCGTGGCCTGAAGTTTAGGCAGAGTTTCCCGAACATGATACAGGAGAAGCAGATGGGGAAGAAGTGGGTTTTTTTTTTCTTTCCATCAACAAGCTCAAATACACTGAGTCTGATTTCTCTCCGAAAGGCCTGAGCTGCGCTGGAGGGGAGAGGCTGGGCCCCATGGGGTACTGGAGATGAGAGGGTAAGGCAGGGTCCCCCGACCCTGGCCGGCCCCAGTAGGGACCAACTCCCAGTTAGCAACCTCCAGTCTCACTGCAGCCTTGAAAGGCTCAGCTTCCATAACTATGAACAAACATTCTCCCAAGAGCCCTATGCGCATGGAATCAATAACTCTTAGAAAAGATC